AGTATATGCCCACCATAATACCACAAAACAACAGCGACGATTTAGCTGAAAAAAGGCGTCAAATAATTAGCACAAAACCACATCCCATTCTAACAAATTTCAAGATTTCGGATAATGCAATGCAAGAATAAGTAATCAAATAAATTTAGATTAACCGTTGAGAAATTCGATTTTAAATTACCTCGCGAGAAAATCCATTTACACACCGAGTTTTGGTGCAAGGCTCATCTGTCTTCCATATTGTAACCCAATGCAAGCGTCTTGCATTTACAGGGCCGGAATCCTGAACATCGATGACTGGAACCTGATTATTAAGGAGCTCTTGATCAGCATTGTCAGATAATTTGCATCTTTTAATTATAGGATTGCCACTAGGACCACCCACACCGCGGCAGCAGGCTAAAATCCGGACTACTGAGCCAGGGTTATAGGTTTCAAAAATTTCTATTCTGCGCAAGATGACGGGGCAATCCAAAAAGATGTCGACATAATCCTCACTGCTGAATCCTGGCGGAGATAAATGAGGAGCAATAAGTGGCAAAGCAGAAGGACATTCGCGCCACCAAGTGCCATAAGTACGCTAATGAAAAGAAAATTAAATCAGGTCTTAGAAGGATGATAAAAGGATGGAAATAAATCTATTGAATATTTATAAGGCGAATATAGCCATTATCCAAAGGGCAGATAGCTTGAGTTAAACAGAAACTTTTTAGAAGATTAACCACCATCTTGCCGTCAGACAAACAGAAAACGGTCAAGCAGACTAACAAGATAAATGCGCAAAAGTCCGTAAGAGCAAATTGATAGCTTTATTGCACATATCTGCTGCAGAATGAAGGATATATCATTGTCATAAATAAAGTAGATAATGATTGAATTGATCCAAACCGATTGGCATCAGATCATATTCTTATAAGTAATAAGTGTAAAACACACGACCACCATTTACAATATTTATATTACTTAGAATTTGAGTTATTAGGTAGGAATTATCCAGAAACTTATGCGAGCAAAAGCTTACGAATACGCAGGCAGATACACCATCAGAGTGAAGGGGATAAACAGTCGGCGGCCCAGTCAAATTGCTAACAGTATAAGTTGACCCTCCTTCTTCGCCATATTGAGAGCTAAAATCAACAACCTCACGAGCAAATTGGCGGACTACGTCCAAATAGCCCTTTTCCTCTTTCATGGGACACTAGCCGAGAGTTACAAAGCAACCGCCAGGGGAGTAAAGAGCCGATTGGCGCTACCCTATTAGATACTCATGTAACCTAGTCAGCAATGATATAATTTTTTGAAATATTATTACAAGCTTATAATTAAATAGTCTAACTATCCACGCTTTGGCTAAAATAGCTCTCTATAAACAGTAAACGACTTAAATGTACTATCGATGGGCGAATATATTATAAAAATAAGACAAATATTTCACCTATAACAAGCTAAATAGGGCATAGAAAACAGCTTGAGAGAGTAACAAGGTATTCTTATAGATTTTTGTTGAAATTCGTGATTTGTCTTAAAACTGGAGCTCTCAGATATGATTTCCTTTATAATATTTCTCTGATATGGCGATTTATCAATAACAGTGTATTGGCTAATAGCTTAAAGAAAGGTTAAGTCCCACCAGATAATTTTAAAGTATGTGGTCATGTATCAGCAAGCAAACAAATTGATTAATTGAAAATCCCAAATAAATTACTTCATTAGGCCGCAAAGATTAGTCAGTTTGTGTTGGTTCGACCTCGCTTTCGCTACATGGTCGGATCATCAGGGTAAATTTGTGCAACGTACCTAGTTCTATGGCCTCTGCCATAGTATTCGTGATTTCTAGCATCGGATCATTAATT